GCCCTGCGGCGCGGTACCGGTCCGCGGACCGGCGGTTGGGGACCCCTGCCCTACAGCACCGTAATGACAAAAGAAGAATCAAATGGGATGCTTATTAAACGTTTTCATGGTGGCTAAATTCGAATTGACAAATAGTTATACGGTCTTATTTTACACTGTTGAAATGCTCAGTGCTAAGTATTTTTGTTGCTTTGCTTCATGCAGTGTTCACTAACTACAGCTTTTTTTCTTGATCTTGTGCGATATGTTCTTTCATGCACCCGGAGAAGCAAGACTGATGCCAATGTGCTAACTTCCATTTACAATGTAAACCGGTAGAGACGCTGTGGAGAGGCCGTATACTATTTATGGGTTAATCGATACAGTCCCTGGATGACACCATGTCCCTGCTACTTTCTGTCATGATGATGGCTCACTAATTTTGGAGAGGCTGCTTTCTCCTCTTGCCTTCAGCCGGCTCCAAGATGTTTTAATTTGGCTGTAAAAATGCCAATCACTCTGGTTACTTCTTGTTCCCGGGGGAGGTCATGATGGGGGCAAGTCCATAGGAGGAAATATATTCACATAGTTCTCTTTAGAAACCCTGCTAACCCCTGACATCCCATTTGGGTTGTAACTTTATGTTGTTAAAGTGACAGCGATGCAACTGCTCTGAGAGAGGCTGGGGCACGGCCAAATCCTGGTCAGAAACGCCCCTAATTCTTGTACTACTCAGTTTGCTTGTGCGTGGGTGTATGTGTGTGTGTGTGTGTGTGTGTGTGTGTGTGTGTGTGTGTGTGTGTGTGTGTGTGTGTGTGTGTGTGTGCGAACACATGTAAGTGAGCTGCAGCAATTCCTGCGTCAAATGTGTTGGTTTGCATGTAATGTATTTATGTGTCTGCTGCATTGGGCATTTTGGTCTCAATGTTTTGTTTTGTTTTTCTAGCAGGTGTCAGTGAGAAACACCCCACACAAAGACACAGGCTCAAAGAGAGATTCATGCCGTTACTTGGTCTCCTGACATACTGCTGGCCCAAGGAAAAATAAAAAGGGAGACGTGATGAAAAACTCTCATTACTTCAATATGAAGAGAAGACTTGACACTCCTTCCTTGAACTGACTTTGATCTCAGTCTAACATGGATATTTGGGAGAACTAATGCTTTTACTGTGATGAAAGCCACCATTTAACAGCTCACATTAAGTTTGAGGGGAAAAGACATCAGGCATGTTTGCATCTCAGTAGGTGTGCATTTTGACATATTTTTTGCACGGAAAGAGGGAAGCTTTTTATTTCCTGACTTCACTGTAAATACAAAATAAGTTAAACCTTAAATAGAATAGCAGAATAGCAGTTGAAATTACAACAGAAGAGTGACACAATTGTCGAGGGTTTCATAATTTAGGATACTCGTAATAATCGCTCATGGGGAAATTGAATCTACTCTTTTGTGTATTTTGCGTCGCACCCCGTGCGGAGAACCAGAAAACAGATCCAGTTAGTGCCATACCCCTAAATCTTGTTTCCCAAAGCAGACCCAACAGGTAGGAAAGTAAAACAGATTTTAATAAACAAATAGAGCACATAATGTGCAAACAGTGCTGTGCAAAACACAGTGGATGCCTGGGGGTGAACACGTGATTATGATGCTCCCTTAAAAATTGGAGTCGACAGTGGGGTTGAAAAATTTTAAAACTCATTGTCTGTGGGGATTGAAAAATTTTTATATTGACATGTCAACAGGTCTGTGGATGCCCCCGCCTCACCCCCTTGGGTGGCTTCCCGGGGCCTCCCACCTTTGCACTCCACGGCACTGAAAATACCACACCGAGAAAAGAGACGACAAAAGGCTGACATTAGAATAAGAAATAATACCGACTGAAATAACAAAGAGACGCTAACCAATGCAAAATTTAACAAACTAAGTAACAGAGCTGTACTTTCAAATATCAAACAAAATAAACCCACAATCAAAACAACAAATATATATAATACAATTAAAAATGCTTCCTCGGTTGAGGAGGTGCATCGTGTCGTTGAGGACTTTCTCACCAAACAAAATAAACCCAGAATAAAAACAACAAATACATAATGCAATTAAAAATGCTTCCTTGGTTGAGGAGGTGCATCGTGTCGTTGAGGACTTTCTCCTCTCCAGTAAAGTAAATCTCAGATAGGAACAAAGGCTAAATTCAGAGGCACACTTTATCCCACAGGTAGAGCATGGCATAGTGCAGATCGAAGACTGTTGTGGTACTCGTCTTGGTCTTGGCAAGTAGCCTGCGGAGGTTGAACACGCTGCCATCCTGCTGGTATCTGATGGATATTCTGTCAGCTACAGCTTATACTGAGACAGTAGGGTTATGGCCGGCAGATAGATGTTAAAGATGATGGGTGCAAGGACACGGCCTTGTTTGGCTCCTACATTTAGGCAAAAAGCCTCCGACACCGGGCCACCAACTATAATGCGAGCAGACATGTTCGTGTGTAACTCATGATGGTGGCAGCACAATGAATTCTGAATGAATTCTGAAGTCCACAAAACCATTTTGTGTTGCAATTTACAGAAAAATGCATCCAAACTAATCGGGAGCCGCTTCATGCACAATGACCCAAAACAAACTGCCAACACAACGCAGGACTTTATCAAGGGGGGAAAATGGAAGGTCTTAGAGTAGACTGTACAAGTTAATCACCAGACTTTAATGCAGTAGAGCATGCATTTCACCTCCTGAAGAGCAGACTGAAGGGAGAAACCCCCCAGACACAATAATAAATAGAAGAGGCCTGGAAAAGCATTTCAAATGAAGATTGCAACAGTCTGGGGCAGTCAGTGGGTTGCAGGCTTGAGGCAATTCTCACGAGCAAATATTAAACATTATCCACTTTAACTGAATTGAATAATAAGATAAGATAAGAAAACCTTTATTAGTCTCGCAATGGAGAAATTCCCAATTCACAGCAGCAAAGTTATGAAAGGAAGAAGTAGAACAACAAAATATAGGAGCTGCTGGAAAGGCAGCCACTCTCGCGGCGCCATCTTGAAGTCAAAAAAACAAAAATAACACAACACAACACATAGGACACAGACAGTCGTGACAGTCAATAATGTCCGTTCCGATACTTTTGCTCACCCGAAAAGTGGGTGGCTTCAAACAAAAGTTATGTCCTGAATTGTTGATCACAGCGAGAGGTAAATACCATTAAAATAAAAGGTGGAATTTTGAACTTTTGTCTGCTAGTCATCCTTTCATCTGAAACACAAATGACTTCAGTTCACAAGAAAAGGGAATTGACCTTGCTCCTCTAATACGTTTGGAGGGGTCTTGATGGAACACTTGACATGAGTGAACAAATGAATACGACTCCCTAAACTCATATCATGACTCGACTCAAATTCTCAAGCTTAAATGTGTCACCACACATGAGTCATAATGATTAGTTTTCATCCCAGTAATTCCATGTTTTATCTTTTTAGTACATCATGACCTTGTCATCCAGATTATTTGTATTATAATGATGGATATTATGTAAAATAAAACCAAAAATGAAATTGAGGGGAAAGAAACGGAGGTGTGATGTGACTCACGAGTCCAGGTAGGAGGATACTTGTGGAAATGAGAGGGGAGAAAGGGGGAGGCGTCCTCTCGCAGCTCAGCCAGACAAGTAAAGAGTTAACGGGGCGGTGGGTTTGCCCATTCTCCACTTTGAGTGACGCGATCATCTCTCTTCTTCCCCCAAGTTTTCTTGTTATCAGAGCAGGCGGCCGAGCTGCTTGGACGTCAGCTGCGTGGTGTGTGTCCGAGCGCGTGCGCGTCTCTATGCTTGCGTGACACCCTCGAGCACTACAACACGCCGACAACGTTGTTGACGTGAACGCGCCACCTCCAACCAACCAAAAAAAAAAAAAAGCATGATGACTTTTTCCTCTCCGGCGGACTCCTCGATGTTGTCTCGAGGCGTGAAGCTTTCTCTCTGAGCGGAAGGTGGATCTTCCCGAAAACTGCGAGTGGCTTTTTCGCGTGCGAAGAAAAAGGAGGAGTTTGGCTGAAATCCCCACAAATACAGTCACAAATGCCACGGAGGAAACAAGAGGCGCCCAAGCGCGCACCAGGTACGGATCCCACTAAAACGCGTGTCAAAAAAAATCTCTTCGTGTTATGTTTAATTCAGTTCATGGTCCGCTAACAATGACTTATTTCGGCGTCTTTACCATGCGTGCTTATGCGTAATAATTGTGAGGACGTAGCTGGCCGCTTTATTCTGCTGAAACTTCTTTACACAACCTAAAACGCAAAGTCGGATCCGTGCAGTCCTTTCTCTCTCTCTCTCTCTCTCTCTCTCTCTCTCTCTCTCTCTCTCTCTCTCGCTGGACAAGATAAACAATTTCGGAGCAGACAATGGGAGTTTCGTGGGCTGGAAGGAGCCATAATCGACAGTTGCCATGTCCGATTTGACGGTTGATTGATTGGCTGTCACGCGGCTTTGATGTGATCCCTCCCGATTTGCATCAGAAAATCACTTCCCACCATGTGCTGCAGGCCCCTGACGTCACGTTTGAACCACTTTCAAAGGATTTGTGTACTTTTTCGCCTCCCCTCTTGCACACTCGCTGATGATGAAGTGACTCACAAAAAAGTGAGGAGAAAGAGGTTTCACTCCAAGGCTGTGCATACTTTCTTGTTTTTCTTTTTAGACAGCGTATTTTTGCTTTTTTTTTTTACTCAATAAACCCAAATATACTTATAAACTCGTAACGTATTTACAGGCTGTCAACTACTTGTTAAAACAACAGGTGGCGCTATAGCCGGTCTTTTTAGCTAGTCAGAAACCTGAAAAAGTCATAATAATATTTGAGTGAAGTTTTTTGGTCAGGTGTGTGGAAATAGTAAACCCCCTCCTTTTTTTTTATTTTTTATTTTTTTTTTTATTGATCAACATTTGTTTTGGGCAGCAGAGTTGGGTCGTGGGTAGCAATTCCACTTTACAATTCTGAGGTTGGGAGATAGAATCCGAACTCTTGCTTTCCTGGGTTGAGTTTGCATGTTCCCTGTGGACTCTTCTTCTTCCCACATTCCAAAAATATGCACACTCGGTTAATTGTAGAATATAAATTGTCCTCGGATGTCCGTGTGAATGGTTGTTTTTCCCGCCTCTCACCCAAAGTCAGCTGGGATCAGCTCTTGCAACCCGAAAGACGATAAGTATAAAAGTGACCATTGTTTTTGTTTGTTGTATTTGGCCAAAATCTGAATACCGAGCACAATAATCCTGCCCAGGAAAAAAAAAATCTATAGTGTAGCTCTGCATGAATGTAGTGCATCTTCCCATTGCTTATTGAGCTCATGTTGTTCTTCTTTACAACACAAACTAGTTTAGATTGAATCAGTGGCACCTCTGTTGGTTGTAGGCAAGTAGTGCACTTCCATTTTGCCACACTTCCATTTAATGACCAATCAATTCCACAAATGACGGATTTTGTGTTGTTATCTGTACGATTAATAATACTGTTGTATTATTTTTACCATTATGTATTCCACAAATTAGTTTGCCCATCCCGAACAGAAAGACAGTAGTGCACAGTGCCATTATTCCTGTTGAAAAGTTGTGCTTTGAAAACTCTTAAGCCTGAATGAAGTGTTTCTAAAAGTCATTAGCATGTATACAATTGCCCAAAATACATGTCTTTTAGAAGTACCCACGCTTGCTTGAACCTGGTTTGGAACGCGCGCGCACACACACACACACACACACACACACACACACACACACACACACATTAAAAACATCACCGTCCTGTGTGCACATGTTCACTCTGAACACACACACACACACACACACTCACACAGTGGCCAGGGGAGGTGGGAGGAGCGGGTAAGGGGTTGTAAAAGGAGCTGTGTGCTATGTAATGGAGGGGAGGAATGGGTTTGCTCTGTCAGACCGGGCCGCCACAACGGCTTTGTTTCATGTTTGATTTAATTGTCTCCACCCTGACAGGCCCATTCATCAATGGTTTTAATGGTCAATCAGAGACAGGCTGAGTGAGTGCTCCCATTCTGTTTAGCCATAAGCTGGCCCGGGCTTTTATTTCATCAAAATGCCCCAGCCTAATGTACATGCTCACTGGCTCAGAGTGGCCGCGGGGAGCACATAAAGAATGACTGAAAGCTTTCTGATTTCAGATCAGTGAGAAGGATGTTTTGTTCCTCCCTCTCTCTCGCTCTCCTCCTGCCCGCTCCACGGCTGTTTGTCTGTTGATGAAAGGGAATAAAAGAGTTGTAATACAGATCGTTTGGTGTTTGTAGAAAACAACTTTTTTTTTTCGCCAAAACCACACTTCTTTGTGCATTCATTCATCCATCCAGTTTCTTCATTTTTTTTTTCACACTCCCCTTGCACCCGTGTCAGTCAGCCTGTGCAGCTGCAAGTTATAAAGTTGTCAACTGTTCAGTGGCACACAAAGGGTGATGATGAATTGATTGCAGCACAGAGCGTGGTGATAGAGAGAGCAAAGAAAAGGATGACAGATGATGGGCCTTGATTAGGGACTTAGGGGGAGAGTCGGTCCACTGCAACCTTGAGACTTGCATGAAATATCTACCTCCCCCATACACACATGCACGCACAGAGCCGCACACCCTGCTTTGCTCCCTCATTGTCTCTCAAGCACACACGCCAGCACACACACACACACACACACACACACACACACACACACACACACACACACACACACACACACACACACACACACACACACTCTCTCCCTCTCTTGCCATCTTCTGTGTGAGTCCCTCCACAGTCGAAAACTTGTTTTGCCTGCTTCATTAGCATCGTTCCAATTAGCCGAGAGGCTGATGGAGTCCTGACAGGCCTTGTGATTGGAGATGACAAGCTCGGGGTGCCCGGCCGAATGAGGTTTGCCACCACTTTGATGTAATCAACTTGATATTACACAGAGCTGCTCACCTTTAGTTGTGCTGTAACTCAATTTTGCGCTGCGGGTGACAAATGGGCCGTGTACCTGCATCAGGTCTGAGTGTTCTTAACAACCGGGGCCAGGCGGCTTTGTAACCTAACTGAGCAAACGTGTATGTGGAAGTAAGACCCCTCATTCTTTGTTGCCGATGATGCCTGTGGCCTGAAACAGTTGCAATAAATTCGCCGACTCAACAGTCAACAATGGCTTTACAACATAGAGCAAAGTTACACAGCTGCTGGGTCTTTGCGGTAACCCTACTACCGGGAAAGGGAAGCCGCCGTTAGGGAAAGCGACCCTGGATTTTCTATTTACTCGTGCGACTGTTTTTGAGACAGAAAGAGGGCCAGGGGAGCTGGTCCAGTTTGGAACGTCCTCCATGGTAACAGTCTCCTGTTTCTGCAGGCTCAGATTTATAAGTGCCAGACTGGCAGCCATCACTCATGAGCGAGTGCGTGTGTGTGTGTGAAAATCACTGGGCATCTGCTTTCTGATTTGTTGGCTTGGCTCATGCTGTGTGCGGTAGGGATAGACGGGCAGTGAGGTATTTGTAACCGCAGCCCACTTGCTTGGATCAACTTGTGTCTTCTTTCCGTGTGCCAAGTCAGCAACACAAATACAAATACTTGAAGCCCACATTGCGCACACATGTCGTGTCTACGTTGTAAAAGTAAAATGAGGTGAAGTGTTTGCATTTCTCTCTGCCCACCTGCTGTTTTATGTGTGAGAAGTGTGGCCCTACAGAAGCAGCGGGGGTCAAGCAACTATTAAACAATAACGCACCTCCTTATATTCACAGGTTTAAGTAAATGTGTGGGCCTCGCAGGCCTCCTTGCTAATGAAAGTCTGTTGGCTGGATTCCGTCGAAGTTGAGTCACGTCTGTGATCTATGTGTCTGATAAGTGCATACCTAATGAGGCTGTGAGCACTAGTGGAAGGAGCAAGGCTGACAGAGTGTTTCCCACTGGTATTGACAGATGCCTTTTTGTTTTTGCCATGGGCCTTGAATCCATAAATCCTGCCTGGGTAATGATAACATTGCCACCCTGCCAGGAAGTGATTGCAAAAGATGAGAAAAAGGCAAAGCGGGGGGAGGACAAGGAGGAGCTGTTGGTGTAGCGGTTGATGAGAAAGAGAAGAAAAGTGGGATCGTAAAGTGGCCCTCCTCTGCTTTTTAACACACACTTGACAGATGTCAGGCCATCGGCTTGGGCTCTGGGATAAGAAAGAAGCGCGGGGTCACAAATAGAAAACCGTTCGCCATCCCTTCTTCCAGCTTTCAGTGAATTTCAGATGAGGTTTTCAGCAGGGACTGCTGTCTTGGCACTGAGTAGCAGGCTTTGTAAAAATAGTCCCACCGCTCTTGTGATAGATGCAGCTGCACTGTAGCGACAATTGGGACGCACTGTAGCACTCCAAGCTCCACCGCCCCATCCTCTCTCAGTCCTCGCAGAGGTAGAGAGCCTGGCGGGATGTGTGCTCTTTTTGGGGAAACTGAGCTCCGCTGTTCTTTGGGGGGCCTGAAACCCAATCCAGGAGGAGAATAGCCCGGCCATGCCAGAGAGCCGATTTCCTTTTCAACAGAGTCATTTATCACTGACCCACCCTTCGCTTCTGACATGGTGACGTGTGTCATTTATCAAACTGGCTTTAGCAGACACACATGGGAGGGAGGTGGATGCGTATGCTGTGGTAGGCTGCGAGAGAGTGAAAAACAGGGAGACAAAAGACGGAAGAATAGGGAAAGAGTTGAACGGTCAGAAGAGAAATGATGTGCAAGGAAAGGCTACTTTTTTCCTGCTGACGTTTGAATGATTTTTCTGGGAAGCTTTCCTGAAAGCTTCAAGAAGTTGGACTAAGGAGGAAGAGACGATTGAGTTACACTAAGTTCATGCTTTGGCGAGTGACAGAATGTTCCTCAATGACTGAAGACATCTTTAAGAAGGGGACAAATAACATACTCGCATAGAGTCCCAACAAGTGTTTGATTTGTTTTTTTGTGCACATAATGTATCCAAACGGAGCTCTCTCAGGCAGGCGTTGTGTGTGCTTGCGTGTGCGCCTGTGTGTGTGCGCGTGTGTGCGTGACCATATGGCGCCAGTGTTTAATGTGGTATGTGTGTGTGTGTGTGTGT